GATGCTCTTCCAGTCTGGCTACCATAGAGGGAGATGGCCTCCTGAAAATATATCCTCCGTGTGGCTTTATGTGTACCTCCTCCACTTCTGCCAGCCTGGCTCACCTGTTCCTGAACCTATTGTTGCAAACAGTGGGCATTGCTTTTGTCTCCCCAACTCTTGAGAAGTGCCTCTGTGCTGGCTTTCCTGACATCCATCCCCACAGGGACCTCCAGAAACACGTCATGCTTTTCAATTCCTCCTACTTGGTTTCTGCTCAATCTAGTTAGCCTTTATACATATTTTAAAATCTAGAGATATGCATCTCCTAATTTGCCAAATAAAACATTTGTGAGAGATTTTCTTTCATTTTTTTTCTGTGTGTGTGTATGTGTGTATACTGTATGTGTACACAAGCATATATATGTGTGTGTGTGTATATACACACACACACATACACACACACACACACAATATGTGTGTGTGTGGGGGGGGGGGTTCTTATTGTTCTTTCATCATCCTCCCTTTTTTTTTTGAAAGATTTCCAGGGAAAGAAATGAATAATGGTGACTCACATAAGCATTTATATACTAGAAACACCTAAGTTACTTTTATAATAAAATTAATCTTAACCAGCACTGGGAGGAAAAGAAGGAAAGTATAACATAAAATGAAAGGAAATAATTATTGAAAAGAATTAGGAAAAACAAATTAAAGGAAATCTGCCTATCACTGTAAAATTTAGTCTACCATACCAAAAGTAAATTTTATTATTTCCCTGGATCATAAAACTGGCTTTATACCTCATATATATTTTCACTCCCATGACTTAAGCAGTGATTTGATTAGAAAAGTGAGATAGTTGGTATCATAGAAACATGTACAAATAATACGGTAGGAGAATCCCCAAAAGTTAAAAGTATATTTACCCAGATAATTCTGAATATAACCAGTTAAGAAACAACCTAACCAGTTAAGAAACATCAGGTCAAAAATATTCACTAAAGTGTAACAATCATTCTGTTGATTTGAATGGATCTGACAATCTATAATCGTAGATGTTTTGATCCCATTCCAATACTAATGATTAGAATCTCTAGAAACATGATGCTACACTCTTCATTTAACTCCTCAGGTGATCCTAAATGCAAATCAAAATATGGGAGCCAATGGGACAAAAGATGCCATATCATTTACAGAATGATTTACATGATTATTTTATTTAACCTTCATTAATGCCTGTGAGATGATTATTCAAAGATTTTTACAAGTGAGCTATCTGAAGCGTGGGGAGGTTAAGAAACTCACCCAAGCGTATAATGACAGGACAAAGCAGAACCAAGGTTTCAACACAAATATCCAGGTGTGACTAGCTCAAACACGAAGGCTTCTACTTACTTTAATAGGAGTAGTTTCTATAAAATGTTTATAAAACTTTAGATTTAGGGGACGGGGGAGGAGAGAGAGACAGGCAACAGGCAGACAGGTGTTATTTCAAAAGGAAAGACTGCTAGAGAATATATATGGGTTTAAATTTATCAGCTATTAATAATTTCACAAAGGAGAACCAGATAGTCAAGGCATGTGACCTACGGGTCACATGGGGACTCCCATTAAGAAGGGTCCACATTTGGGGTTGGAAGCCCTGCAGTCACCATCTTGAAATTCCTAATCATTTTATTATGGAATCTGTGCTTTGTAAATGAAGCCCAATAGGGCATAGGAGAATGTGCCAGGAGCTTGGATTCTGGGCTCATACACAGTCCCACCACTTCCACCAGATGTGTGTGTGGTTGCCCAGTTCTCCATCCCCTGCCTTGTAGCACCCACCACCCTCCCTGTCTCCCGACCTCCTAGTGACTGCTGCTGCCTTCAGCCCCCAGTAGAGGGTCGGGTGCAAGCACCGAGAGTCGGGGTCAAGTTTCAGGGAGGCTGGAGGCAGCTACCCCAGTGCATGTGGTGGGCAACTCAGTAGAGCTGAGCCTCTAGCATGCCCCTGGATCTGGACATAGAGGTTGCAATACACTTGGAGGTCACTCATCACCCATGGGTTGGGGCAGTGGGACTGGGGAAAGGGCTGACTCTATTTCTCTGCTCTCCTGGCCAAGATACAGTGTATCAGCCAGTGGCCGGAGAAAAGGGAAACCTGGCAGCTGGTGGGAGAGGGTGGGGCCCCAGGTACCTGTGCGGGTCTGCACTTTCCCCAAGAGTCTCCCCATGCCACTAGGAAACATGACATTCCACGGCAAACAAAAAAAACACCTTGGCCAAGCATGGTGGCTCACAAATATAATCCCAATACTTTGGGAGGCTAAGGCAGGAGGATTGATTGAAGCCAGGAGTACAAGACCAGTCTGGGCAACATAGTGAGACCCTGTCTCTAATTAGCCAGGTGTGGTGGCACACACCTGTAGTCCCAGCTACTTGAGAAGCTGAAGAGGATCATTTGAGCCCAGGAGTTTGAGGCTGCAGTGTGCCAAGGTTATGCCACAGGACTCCAGCTTGGGCAATAGAGTGAGATCTTGTCTCAAAAACAAAAACACCTTGACAAGTAGAGAGAGACTAAGGGAGGAAAGAAAAAGCTTTATATTTTTGTACTTTTTAATAGCACATTTTTTTGTGCTTTTTGAACAAGGGATCCCACACTTTCATTCTGTACTGGGCCCCACACTATGTAGCCAGTTGTATGCAGAGATTTTAAGGGTTCATTTCTCACACTTGAAGGATTATAATCATGTCCTTCTACAAAAAGGCAGCTGAAACTGTGGTACGGCCAGGACAGTGAATGATCATTCACACACATACACAAACACACACTTTGTTTGGGCTCTTCGAGTCCTGCCCCTCCTATTCCAGTTAACTGACTGGTACATTTTATGTTATAACTAAGACTGAAGAACTACAAAGAATACAAGGAAAACCAGTTCCAACTCTTGCTGCATTTATATTTTAAACATGAGGCTTACACTTTAATCATGTAAAAACCTCCAAAGGAATCACCCTGGAAACTAAAAGAATATGATCATTCAAATTAGCTAGAAGCAAGTATTCTTTAGAGCAATCAACCTGGCTGCAAAATCTTTTTACTACCTTTACGGAGGGAATTTCTCCAGTAACTATAATAAACATAAGGCAAGGGAAGTGAAATGTTCACTGCAGGACTTTTAAGCAGAGCCATCAAATCTAGGGGGAAAAAAAACCCTTATTTTATTATTCATTTAGAATACTGCATGTTTAATGTACTTAGAGTAGTTTACAAAGAGACTCCAAATATGTTATAATCACATTTACAAATGAACCTGAGAAGTCTCTATACATCTGCTTTTTTGAGAGGGAAAAAGTTGTTTCACTTCAATAATTTGATACACTAAATGAAAACGCAAGGCCGGGCACGGTGGCTCAAGCCTGTAATCCCAGCACTTTGGGAGGCCGAGGCGGGTGGATCACGAGGTCAAGAGATCAAGACCATCCTGGTCAACACGGTGAAACCCCGTCTCTACTAAAAATACAAAAAATAAGCTGGGCATGGTGGCGAGTGCCTGTAATCCCAGCTACTCAGGAGGCTGAGGCAGGAGAATTGCCTGAACCCAGGAGGCGGAGGTTGCGGTGAGCAGAGATCGCGCCATTGCACTCCAGCCTGGGTAACAAGGGCGAAACTCCGTCCCCCCCCCCCCCAAAAAAAAAAAAAAAAAAAAAAGAAAATGCAAGCTTTTTTTTTTAGTATTTTCTTCTTTTAAATACCATAAGATATGTGTCCCTCCAGGCAGGAACTTGGCAACCTGAAATTATCTCATAAAAACCACCAGAAGAGCTTTTTCTAAAATTCCATTCATTCTTCTCTTCTTCCTAGCAGAGACAGAAAAAAATGCCTGATACTTTCTTAATTTTTTGAAGGGAGAAAACAGTTTTAAAAGGACAGAGGGAAAATCTTTAGAGAATTTTGAAAGAAATGAAGACCATAAAATAGACAAAAGTGTTTGGATATCTGAATTAATAGTTGTAACATGAGAAAGATAGTACAAAAGGCTAGAAACACAAATACCAAGAAAAGAAACAGAATTTGCTTAATTCTGTCAAATCATGTCTTGGAAGCCTGGGTAATTCTCCCAGAAAAAAAAAAAATGAAAGAGAAAAAATTAACCATTTAATTTATGAACACATAATACTTCTCATAGAATGTTGTATTTCTCCTGATCTTTTCGGTAAGATATATAAAAAGTCTATAATTTGCTTTATTTCCCTGTGGCCTTCAATTGGGGGTTTCTGACTTCCAGCTTTCTCCTCCCTCTTTGTACTGAAGAAGATATGAACTTGGCGTGGGGGTGGAGGCAGGGGGGCGTGGTCTTTTCTCCCTGCTTCTCTCCCACTCCCTTCTTCCCACTCCCAGTTTGGGCTTCGACTCCCACCAGATTGATATCTCCTCCCTTTTATTCTCCACAGTGAACCTATCTCTTCACTTAAGACTCTCCTGACCCTCCTTCTTCATACCTTTATGGTACAATCTTTTATCTTGCAATTACACCTTCTTGTTTCTGTTTACATTTGTCTACTTATCACAGCTCCTAGAATATGTGGACAATGCTTTAAGCCAAGAGGTCCTTTGTTTCACACACACATAAATCATATTCTTCAGCTATACCCAGTCACCTCCACAAAGTTCCCCCAGCCCTCATGCTTCAAGTCATATTTTGCTTTAGATCACATGAGATTAAAAGAGGCACAGAATTAGACTAATCATTATTTAATCAAGACTGTTCTTAGGCAAGCTACTAAAAATCAACTTGAGCATAAGTACTAGGTCTAGGACAAGCCCATCTCCATTCTGCTTCCTACTAGGTCTCAGACAAGCCCATCTTCATTCCGCTTCTGCTACGCTTGCATTCCTTCTGCAACATGTCCTCCAGCATGAGGCAAGGCAAAATTTGATTCTCCAAACCCGGAAGGGTAGAAACTGAATGACTGACTGCAGGCTGAGAATGGTGACCGGGGACAATCCATACCCCAGGAAAGGACAGTCATACCTTTGTAATTGCAGTGAAGACCTTTTCCAGAATGGCGTTGGGTGGGGCAATTTGTGGTCCATTGGCCTGAATGTTGAGGGCTATGGCACATGGTTTTGCTACAAATCTAAAAATTACAAAAAGAAAAAAGTAGAAGGTCAGAAGTGATTCTTTCTATGTGACTCTTAATGCCACCAGTTACATGTTACTCAATTATTCCAATAAAGTGTTGGTAGGATTTTATGGGTGTACATTGCTAACACTCCCATCAGTAACTGTAAGGCAGACTTAACCATTTTTCTCTCCATTAACCCCCAGCAGTAACATTAAAAAAGAAATCCTTTTAAAACATTTAAACCCTCCAATTCTCAAGTTCTAATAAGACAAAGCTCGAAAGACTATCAGATGAAAATATAAGTGTATAAAATAGAAATAAAACTATGAGGCCGGGTGCAGTGGCTCACGCCTGTAATCCCAGCACTTTGGGAGGCTGAGGTGGGCAGATCACAAGATCAAGAGATCAAGACCATCCTGGCCAACATGGTGAAAACCCATCTCTACTAAAAATACAAAAATTGGCTGGGCACGGTGGTGTGCGCCTATAGTCCCAGCTACTCAGGAGGCTGAGGCAGGAGAATTGCTTGAACCCGGGAAGCAGAGGTAGCAGTGAGCCAAGATCATGCCACTGTACTCCAGCCTGGCAACAGAGCGAGACCCCATCTCAAAAAAGAAAAGGAAAGAAGGAAAGAAAGAAGAAAAGGAAGGAAGTAAGGAGAGAGGGAGGGAGGGAAGGAAGGTAGGAAGGAAGGAAGGAAGGAAGGAAGGAAGGAAGGAAGGAAGGAAGGAAGGAAGGAAGGAAGGAAGGAAGGAGAGAAAAGGAGGGAGGGAGGGAGGGAGGGAGGGAGGGAAGGGAGGGAGGGAGGGAGGGAGGGAAAGAAAATGATTTCAAAATGATATAACTTATACTCTTCTTACGTGCAATAGTCATGTTATATTTCTACTGTGAGAAAACATTTACTAAGCATCTAATTATACATGCAGACAGACCACTTTGATCACCCCTAGTCATAAACTTGGCAATTTTTGTCTCTATAATAAAAGTGTGCTAAATTCAGCCCCAATCCCTATGGCTTCTTAAAATTATTGGCTTTGTGGTTATTTGCTTTTTTCTCATAAAATGTAATGAAGGATGTCAAAGGGCATGATGTCCCCGACAAGATGAAAAGTTACAAGTGTTTCTGGGCATTAACAAAACTGTTTGCATCTTAAGCCAATGCCTACCTCAGGAGGAATGAGAAGACTGAGCCTTCTTTCTGGTCACATTTGTTATGTGAATGAGATGCTGAAGGGGGAGCAGGTGAAGTGCTTGGAGACCCAAAGGTGTGGAGACATTGCTAATAAAACTGTGTAGAATGAGTTCAGGAGTTCAAGACCAGCCTGGCCAACATGGTGAAAACCCATCTCTACTAAAATTACAAATATTAGCTGGCCATGGTGGCATGTGCCTGTAATCCCAGCTACTCAGGGGGCTGAGGCAGGAAAATTGCTTGAACCAGGACCCGGGAGGCAAAGGTTGCAGTGAACTGACATCCTGCCACTGCACTCCAGTCTGGGTGACAGAGTGAGACTCTGTCTCAAAAAAATTAATTAATTACTTTAGAAACTGTGTAAAAAACATTTAAAGGTTGTTTTAGACTGAATGCTCAAGAAATGAAGTCCTATAAATATTCTCAGTAGTAATATTTAATATTTTCTACTAATACAGAACAATTTAATATCATGTGAAAGTATTACCCAAATTTATTCACTATTGGTCAAAGGCAACAACTGATAAATATGCAAAACAGATCATGAATAATTCTTAGATAAAGCTTTTTAATAATAGTTGATGACATTAAAGAACAGTAGACAAAGGTTTTTGTTTTTAAAGTAGCACCAATGAAACTTACATACACAGTACCACATAATATCCTACTGGGTCCTATTTCAAGTAAAAGTGAAGAAATTTATTTAAACAGGGAAATGGAACACTGTACAAATGCAAGCCTAAACCAGGAAAGACAGACACAGAAAAAGCACTGTAATACCTGGTACACTGGGCTCCCTGGGACAAAGCTGGGAAAAAAGAAGAATCACCCTTTCCCGACATACAAATCCTCTAGAAACTGGAGATTTCCCCAAATTGCTACAGTCTCAATTCTGTTTAATGTAAAATTTTCTGAGTTGCATTACCTACATCCCTACCTTCTTGACAGTAAGTATAACCTTTTCCTATTGACTCTGGCCTTTCTCTATGGTGAAAGAAGGAATTTAGTAGGCAATTACCACAAGACATAGTCTAGAACTTGTTTCCTTGACAACGTTTCCTGCTTTGTGGTTACTTGGCCCCTCATCATAAGGTACAGTGAGGGGTATGAAAAGACATGCAGTCCAGCAAAGGCAAATAATAAGGTAAGACCGCAAAACGCATTTGGTGTGAAGGCCACAACTGTCCCAATGGTTTCCTTCCAGTCTTCCCAGTTGGACTCCTCCCCCACCCTCCCTCATCCTCCCCTTCCCACACCTCTGACGCGCAGTGTTCAAATTCCCTTCGGACTTCGCCATCATTGTTCTTGGAACGGCCTGCTGTTCCAATACAGTCTTCTTTCTTCATCTAAATAGCACAGAGTCTCAGTGCAGAAGCTGATCATTTCCTCTTTGTATGCCCTGTGATAATGCCTGTGCATACACGGGAGGGGGTCAAGACATTTAATCAACGGGTCATCTTCAGTAAATATGTTTTGCTGTTGCTACCATGGTATTGAGTGCTGCTGACAAGTTAACAGATATTCTCTGTGTGCCCCGTAACAATGCATGGGAAGGCAGCAGGGGAATCAAGAAATTCACTCAACACAATCTCTTCAATAGAAGCTTCCTCATCTCTGCTATCAGCCAAAAAACAAAAAACAAAAAAATTTCCATAGTATTTGTTATACAACATGTTATATCCATCTCTCCTTCTCGTTTTAAGCTTCAAACCACTTTTAAAGCTCTATTTTCTTTAAATCCCAAGAATGAATGCAACAACATACTACTTAATCACCAACATATCAAATTTCAATAACCAAAATTATCAAACAAATATGATGCTCTGTTAACATATTTTTAAAGCAATGTTTAAAGGAAGGGTGGTAACTATTTCTGCTGCTATGTGGCTATGAAGACCTCGCTATAGAAATTAATCTCTCTGCCTCAATCTCCTTATATGTGAAAAAATTATTATAACTATGTAAGTGCATGTATGTGATTCTACAAATGATGTATGTGTTAAAAATGATATCATAGAGTCTCTTTGCCTAAAACGTTTGACAGGAGCCATGGGTAAGGTTTCCTATCACAGCATTTACAAACCATGCCTTTCCTGGGCCCAGCGTTCATGTGTATTTAAGTTCTAAAACTATTATATTATTATATCTCTTATTTCTTAGCAGAAAAAAAGAGACCAGAAGTCAGGATAGGCACTGAAAAAACTAGGGACATCCGGTTGGGTAGCCACTTGCCCCAGTCTGCCCTCCGTCCGAGTACTCTCAGCACCATGTGTACTGACAAAAGTGTCCCTGTGTGGTATTTTGCATTGTTAAAACGAAAAGCAGAGGTTCCCATGTGAACATTAAATTGTGATGACTCCCATCCTCAAACCCCAGGCCTGGTGTGGGTCCACAGTGAGTCCACACCAGCAGTGTGATCGGGGTCTGAGCTCAGCCATACCTGGCCTTCTCTGAGGGACCAAACCTTTCCAGTTCTCCTAGCCAACCCAATGGCTCTCGGGGTGTTGCGGCCATATTTCCCACAGGAGAGTTGGTATAACATACACGTCCCTCTCCTGTGTGTGGCGCCCCCAAGAGAGCAGAACCGGACCTTAGTGAAATCCACATCTCCAGAGCCCTGTGCACGATCTCATTTAATCCTCCCTCAACCAGATGAAGTGGGATTACCATCATCTCCACTTTGCAGAAAGGACCAGAGACATCAGTAGCCTCCACTTCCAGGGAAATGGAAGCAGAAGACAGCATATTTCTTTCCCAGGAGGGTTAATGTTATAATCAGCTCCCCACTCTGATTCACTGGACAGGCTAAGCCCCAAAATCTATGTATGTAGAGACAGACAGACAGAGAGAGAAGAATAACACACATTTAATCGAACTTAACTCAATTTAAAAATTGAAGTCCATTAAAGTTTAAATGATCCATGGTAGGCATGTGCATACATCATCATTCTTTGAACGATGTCATAGGATGTTTTTATTTATATGCCTGGCACACTGTGGGCACTCAATGAGTATCTGACGGATGAACAAATGAATAAAGCAATCAAATAAAATACAATGGTAGGTGTCCTTACTATGTTTCCAAAGAGGCTGTGCATTTTAATTCCCTTGAATATCCACATCTACTCAGGATCATTTGGGACCCACAAGGTAGGAGGCTGACCACTCCAACTCAAGTAGCCACATCTTTAATACTTATTGTCCCTAGGATGTCAAAGCTGCCTCAAAGAGCACTTGTGTCACTCTAACAACCCCTCCCTAGGTATGCTCTTTCCAACATATCCCATACTGAGAGCTAAACACTTAACTTTCAGGATTTTTTAAAAATTGCATGAAATAGGCAGAAGAAGTGAATCCCAAATGAAAGAAAAGAGAAGAGCAAATAATTTTTACCAAATAGGTATTACTGAGTATATGAAAATATAGACATTTTATTTCTGTTTATTCTCCAAAAAAATGTGTGAATCACAGTTTTTTTCAGACAGCATATTTAGATACCAAATAAGGTCCATGACAAAGCTATTACAATTTTTTCATTGACTATCACGGTCCATTAGACCATGTAAAAAGCTGGGCTTTTTTTTCTCTTTTTTTAACACTGGTTCTAACAGAAATAAGTTCACAAAAGCTTTCTTTCATAACATTTTGAGAGAAAGAGATAAGAGAGATAGAGAAGCAGATTGATGGCGGATGGGGGTAACACACCAACAAATACTAATAGTTGAAAGGAAATATGTGCTTTCAAGCTTTGATGGTTACTTCTACAAGGAAATGCTCACCTTATTGCTTTTTTTAATCAAAGGCGGCAACACCACCTTCA